TCTCCATGAATGTGTGCTGTGTGACGGGTGACAGAGCGGCCCCCTTTCCGGCCATTCCCCGTTCCCCAGGAAGAAGGGTTCTCTGCACTGGCCCCAGGCCCCAGCGTGCAGCCACCGGCCGGCCAGTGGAACGGCAGGGGACAGCTATCCCAGGCCATCGGAGGCACTGCTGTATCACACAGCCTGGGCAAGATTTTTAATTTATTTGTTTAAAGGTTTATTTATTTATTTGAAAGGCAGAGGTACGAGAAGAGAGAGAGAGAGAGATCTTCCATCCACTGGTTCACTCCCCAAATGACCACAACATACTGGAGCTGAGGTGATTCAAAGCCAGGAGCCTCTTCTGGTCTCCATGTGGGAGCAGGGGCCCAAACATGTGGGCCATCTTCCCCTGTTTTCCCAGCAGGGAGCTGGATCAGAAATGGAGCAGCTGGGACTTGAACTGGCGTCCACATAGGATGCCAGCAATGCAGTCTTTACCCACTACAGCACAGTGTAGGCCCCTCCTCCAGTTAGTTTATGTACACATAATACTGTAGCCAAACATGACTTCTTACTTGGGATTCAGAGTTTAGCATAAATTGCTTTTCAGGGGTGTAAATACTGAGAAACCCTACTTGCATAAATAAGTAGAGGTGAAGAGGAGTTTTGTTATAATCAGATCTCTCCATGTTCTGAACTCCTCCCCAGTTTACTATCAAAAATCACACACAACATAATCTACCTTCAAAAAATAACTAGTGGGGCTGGCATTGTGGCATAGTGGGTAAAGCCACTGCTTGCAGTGCCTTCCATGTGGGTGCTGGTTCGACTCCTGGATGCTCCACTTCCAGTCCAGCTCTCTGCTATGGCCTGGGAAAGCAGTGCAAGATGGCCCAAGTCCTTGGGCCCCTGCACCTGCATGGGAGACCAGGAAGAGACTCCTGGCTTTGGATCAGCGCAGCTCTGGCCATTTGTGGCTAATTAGGGAGTGAACCAGTAGATGGAAGACCTCTCTCTCTCTCTCTGTCTCTGCCTCCCCTTCTCTCTGTGTAACTCTTTCAAATAAATAAATTTTTAAAAACAAAACAAAACAAAACAACCAACTCCCTGCTAACGTGCCTGGGAAAGAAGCAGAGGATGGCCCAAGTGCTTGAGTTCCTGCCACCGACATGGGAGACCCTGAAGAAGCTCCTAGCTCCAGCTTGGCCCAGCACCAGCCACTGCAGCCATTTTGGGGGTGAATCAGCAGATGGAAGAGATCTCTGTTACTCTACCTTTCTTTTCTTCTTTTTTTTTTTTTTTAATTAAAAAAAAATTATGTGAAAGGGTTAGAGAGAGAGAGGGAGGGAGACAGCCCTTCCATCCGCTAGTTCACACCCGCAATGGACACAATGTCGGGGCTGGGCCAGGCCAAAACCAGAAGCCAGGAGCTCCATCTGGGTCTCTGGCTTGCGTGGCAGGAGAACAGGCACTCGGGCCATCCTCTGCTGCTTTCCCTAGAGGCATCAGCAGGGAGTGCAGCTGGTGGGACACCACCTGGTGCCCACACTGAACGCAGGCAGTGGTTTAACCTGCTGGGCAGCAACCAGGGCCCTGCCTTTCAAATAAATAAGTCTTTTAAAAAATACGTTTTTTAAAAACATTTGACAGGTAGAGTGATAGACAGTGAGAGAGAGACAGAGAAAGGTCTTCCTTCCGTTGGTTCACCCCCCAAATGACTGCTATAGCCAGCGCTGCACTGATAAGAAGCCAGGAGCCAGGAGCTTCCTTCTGGTCTCCCATGCGGGTGCAGGGCCCAAGCACTTGGGCCACCCTCCACTGCCTTCCCGGGCCACAGCAGAGAGCTGGACTGGAAGAGGAGCAACCGGGACTAGAACCCGGTGCCCATATGGGATGCGGGTGCCGCAGGCGGAGGATTAACCAAGTGAGCCATGGCGCCGTCCCAAAAATAACTTACTCATCTATAGATGGATGCCCTCCTAAACCAATCTGATTTTTTTTCTACACACAGCGATTCTGAATGGTGAGAAGTTAACAGCTCAATCCACCTCCCCCAGTACTTCCTTCTTTTTACACAGAGTAGATGCCAGACAAGCACAAATCCTTAAGAGGGTGGAAGGAACTTAAATTCAAGGACACTTGAAAAGGTTTGTGAAAACGGCAGCGAAAAGGTGGTTAATTTTGGTGCAGTTTTGAAATCATGGGCTCAAGCAGTCTTGGAAAAGCCCCCTTTCAAAGTGAAAAGTGTGTACTACGAATAAAACAGAAACGTCATGAAGCGCCCTGGGAAGTCCTCTAGACAGCACCTTCTGCGAAGACGGGAATGTTCTGTCCCTGGCTGGACTGAGACGCTAGCCAGTAGCCTCGTGTGTCTAGCTAAATTCAAAAAACCCATAGGGGCTCAGCACTCACACGAGGCTGGCATCTCTTGGCTCGCACATCCAGAGCTTTCTACTCCTAGGGGTCTACCCCATCGGGCGGCAGCTTAATTAACTGTTAGACCCCGCCTCGAGGCGCGCAACCAGATCCTGCCACTCACCCACGATTGCCAGGCGATTCACATGTACCCTCAGTCTGAGAAGCAGCGTGCAGAATCCCCTCATCTGCGCCAGGTTTTCCCTGATACTGACCAAAAACCTGCCTCCCCGAACGCCCACCTTCATTCTTGTTCCTGGCCGCACAAGGCGAAAACAATTTCCCGTGGCAAGCAGCAGCCCTGCCAAAGCGCTGGCCGGCTACCCCCACCCACCTTTCTTCTTTCTGCCCCGAATCTAAACGCACACACCTCATCCGAGTACTTCTGCTGCAAGCGGCGCCCGAGCTGGGTTTGCCGACTTGCAACGCACGTGTCAAGGAACAGGCTGCCAAGGTCCCTTAGAGGTGTACCCTGGGCCCTCCGAGCTGCTCAGACGTACTCCGCAGGTAGGGTCGGGCTGTCAGCGCGGCTCTTCTGCTTCACCCGCAACCCAGCTCCGACCCCCACTCTCCAGCCGCGGGTCCCCTTTCCCGCCACCCAGCCCCGTCCTTCCCCTCGCCGGGCCGGCACCTGACTCAGAAGGCGCGGTCGAGACACGATGCCCCGCAGATCGATGTACACGGGGGACGAGAGGCCGCTCTTCAACACGAAGTCTCCAAACTTGAAAGCCTGCACGTCGTACAGACCCGTCACCAACCGCGCCAACGCCGCTTCGGAAGCCGCCATCGCCTCAGCCAGCTCCGATCCGCAACGCGGGCCCGGGCTCCGGCGCCCCGATGACGTCGCCGCGAAGCCCCGCCTCTTCCGCCTCGCTTTCCGGCCGCTTGGCGGCCAGGAGGCCAGGGTTGAGCCGCGGGAGCGAGGTCGCGCTGCTTTACACTGCACCGGCTGGCTGGGACTCAGAGCCCCGAACAGCCCGACCGACTCGGAGAGCTTGAAGCCCAGCCCTCAAGAGAGTTAGTCTAAGTCCTGCCCAGTTTTCGCAGCCGCACGTCCTCTAGGCCGGTTCTTGAATGACCTCAACTCCTTGGCCTAGCATGTCCCCATTGGCCAGTTATTAGCCACTACTCTCCCCACCGCGTTTCTCCAAGTATAGAGTTTCGGTCTTCGAAGACGGGGCCCTTTCGCAATTCTCTTATGAACTTCACAGCGTCTGGCACAGGACGGTTTCCTCGCAGTTTGCACAATAAAGTGTGTATGAAGTGCTTGGCAGGCGAGCTCATTTCCTCCGGTGTCCCGGAGCAGGGAGGGAGAGTCAGGGGGCGGGAGGACCATATTGCTATCCAACGGGAAAATCCAGGGGACTTCAAAAAGTGCTTGGGAAAATGGGAAGTTTATTATAATAGGTAAGCTTATTATGGAGCATAGGTTTTCTTATATCCACATCTTTTTTCACAATATGCATTTTTTATGGAATTATTGAAGACCTCTCATGCAGGCCTTTCAATTTTTTTGCACCAGACTTATCTTTTAATTCCATTTTCCTCAGACTTTTGAAGTACCCTGTTTGGATTTTAGAAGTCAATCACTTAGAGTTCTGCATTCTGCTAGAAGGAATACTTTATCCTGGTTTCATGAAAATAACCCTGAAAACCATAGGGTTCGTGATTCTGATTCATCAAACTGACGCTGATTTCGTCTAGGCACTTCTGTTGTCTTTAATTTTCCTCTGAAGAGATGGGTGCTTACTGAACTGTGTGAAGGGCCCATCCTTTGGACAGTATTTTTTTCCTCATTTCAAATAAATGTGGCAAAATCTAGATTAAATGGAGCCAAATGTAAAAATATTTTTGCCTTTGTTGGTGAAATAAGCTGATCAAAACTCTCCAATATTGGATAACTGACAGTGTCCTCTGAATCAGTCTCAGCTACAGTTTTTTTAAAGGTTTATTTATTTATTTATTTGAAAGTCAGAATTACACAGAGAGAGAAGGAGAGGCAGAGAGAGAGGTCTTCCATTTGCTGGTTCACTCCCCAGTTGGCTGCAACGGCTGGAGCTGCGCTGATCTGAAACCAGGAGCCAGGAGCTTCTGCTCTGTCTGCCACGCAGGTGCAGGGGCCCAAGGACTTGGGCCATCTTCTACTGCTTTCCCAGGCCATAGCAGAGAGCTGGATCGGAAGAGGAACAGGCAGGACTCGAACTGGTGCCCATATGGGATGCCCGCGTGGCAGGCGGCGGCTTTACCCGCTACACCACAGCGCCTGTCCCTCAACTACACTTGAGTCTGCACAAGTATGCAGAAACTTGGGAGGGGCAGCCCAGGTGTCCTGCTGACTTGCCAAGAATGTTACAAGAAACACCAAAAAGAAATCTGCAGTACAAGTGAGGCTTCCCCAGCATTTTGGGAAAGAGAAATGACTTAGAATACTTCTCTAGGGCAGCAAACTGTTGCTTTCTTTCTAAAATGCTGGGCAAAAAAGTTTCAATAATCAATATTTTCACCTTGTCAAAAAGCTTTCACATATTTAGGGAAGAAAGAAAAATATTATTGTTTTCTTTGAATAAAGATTGTAATTAGGAAGAAAAAAGACAAGCCAGAAATAGTTTCTTTAGCATAGTATATTTATAGGAATGCATAACATGTGAGATGTACATTTTGAAGTTTCATCCATAACTTACAACATTTACGGTAGTAATAATAACGAGACAGCAGGTTATCACTTTACAACATTACACATGAGTGATTTTGACTTACAAATAAAATATTTACAACCTACCTTTACAAAACGACATTGTGTGCATACAAAAACGAACAACTGCAGAAAAAATTAAAAAATAATAAAACCAAAAAACCCAGAAGATACACTTAAGGCAGACCAGCAAGACACTGAAATAATTAAGGCTGTGGAATTTTTCTGCACCTTGAAAATATAGAGCTATTTTTCAATACTGTGGAGTGATTTTAAACCAATTGTTACAAGCTGATGGAAGTATGCACTTATATGTATATGTGTAATGGTCCCTATGGGGAAACCTGTCCACTTATGGATAAGGCCCTTTATCTGAATGGCCAGAGAAGCCCACCCCAAATTCTCAAAAGATTTGGTTGGGCAGAAGGGGTCACTCAAAACCAAGAGGTGCCAGTGTGAACCAGATAGAGATTAACTGCTGAGCTCAAGTAAACTGAAACACCTGGGTGGTGGCCTCATTCTATCTCACACCATCTTGGTTTGGCTTTGTGGACTGCAAAAGACAGCAAACTCATTCCCAAATGAGCAGAGTTGGCTTTCCCAAGGCAGCCCTAATGGCTTTGAGTGACTGAAAGTGGTTTTCCAATAGAAAGACTGACCCACCTGGGCTGCCTGCCAATGGATAGATTTCTGCATATGAGCAATAACATACACACATATTATACACTATATACATGTACAGAGGTACATATATCCGCATTTTCCAACAGTCTGCACTCGGATCACTACTGTTCTTTCGATAGATCTCATTCTGGAGAGTTATGTTGTCATTTCACAGTCTCTGTATTTGTCCTAACTTCTAGTTGATTCCCCTTCCCCATAGAGTAGGCTGCAGTTTGGCAGAAACAGAAGTAAAAGCACCAGGGTCAAAAAAAACTCAAAGACAGAGATGGTAGATATGGCTTAAGTTAGTAAGAGAAGCTGTATGTTTTGTTAACTCCAAATTCATAACCACAGTCTTCGAGCTCACGACCATGGTCTCCATGGTACTCCAGTCCCTGATGGAAGTCAGGTAATGATGGAATTGTGTGCTGGCTCTCCTCAGGCTAGCAAATGCACTTGGTTAAACCAGGCCTCAGGAGCTGGCATTCCAAGAAGCATTTGCACTTTTCCACCACTCTCCCTCTCCTCAGCTAAACTCACTCTGAAATAATGGTGATGTGACTGCACCGCCACCTTGATCATTTGAACGTAAACTAAATCTGATCACGTTTTAGAATCTACCAGAATCTGACAGGAAAGATGCAACAGCCTGTGAGTGTCAATTTCAAGCTTTCCACAAGTGTTAAAGATGAAATACATCAGAGTGATTGCCTTCTCTTCTCCTCTAACTTCTGTGTATACTGAAAGTGAGGAAGAAATATCTTCCGTAGAAAACATGGCCCTGTGATAGTTCTGTGTTCTATTTCTGTATAGGTTTTTCCAGGTGAATAATATTTCCTATGAAAATCATCTGCTGTCGACAAACCTCAGCCCTGTCCAACCCTCTAGAACTGAGGGAGCACTCGAGAGCCTCACTGTGCCTAGGAAGTAAGTGCTGACGTGGTTGCTTCCCTTTCCTGACGGTGCATGTGTGAGCTCTGTCTTCCCAGAGCCACTGTTCATTTCCGGATGATCCCTAGATTTTAAATGGTGAAGAAAAATCCTGATGCAGTTTTACAAACAAAGCCACCGACAGCTCCCATTCCGTGTTTGCCCATTCGAGACTCCACAGAGATGTTACCCAGAAAATAATAAAGTCTACGTTCCTCAGAATCCATCCAGTATGATCCATTGGCCACCGGGAATAAGAACATGGTAAGTCTGTACTTTTGCCTACTACAGAGACCCCTTACATATAAAATATTTCCTCCTTTGTTAAGCGCATGGGACAAAATTCTAATTAATGCACAGAAATAATCACCATTTGGTTTATGTCATATTCACTCCCTCATCCCAAATTCTCACAAGTCTAAATTTCCATGCTCTTCCATAGGCAAGAAAACAGTCATGACTAGCTCATGGGCACTGAATCGTGGTGGCTAGGGAACAAAAAAATACTACTCCTGAAAGGCTTAATCGTGTAAAAGGTATCAAAGCTTTCCCTCCTAAAACAGGCCGATTCATCTGCACACCTATGCATTGCATTTGCCTCTTATGAAGACTCCTGTGAGACTGCAGAAAGGAACTGTGGGATGGGGAGATACCTTATCCTCACGTCTGCCCTCGCAGGAAGGCGAGTGGCTCTCTGCGTTCTCTGTCCATCTTCCCAAAGCATGAAGCTTGAGGAGAGAAGGTGGCGTTGCTTTGGAGGGCAGCTTACTCTTCGCGTCTGCGCAAGAAGTCCCGGAGAGGGCACTGAAGGGACCCCGGACTCGCCAGCACTCTGCCGACCCTTGTCTGTAGAGAAGCTCATAAACTGTTGAAATTACAGGCTAAGACCAAGTGACAACTAGACAAAGAGCACCTCGGACTTCCAGTAAAAAGTAATTTACAGAATGTAAGCTCGTGAGTTTGTAAACGGTACCTAACGACATGAATATTGAAAACTTGGAATGTTCAAAGTGACTATCATAAATTCTCAGCACTGGCAGTGTATAGCACTTTTTTAAAAAAAAATCAAAATATTCTATAGACATCCCAACTATGGTATTTTCTTAACATTCCTATGAGATTTCTGTCCCCCTCTTTCCCTCCCCAGCTCCCATTTTACCAATGGGGACAGTTGGGGCCGAAAAACACAAAGACTTTCTGTAAGAAAGGCTGAATCAGGAATTGCTGAGGTTGAAATTCAAGAATTCCTAGTCCCACCCTGATAATTCAGATGTTTTCGTCTAAAAGAGCTTTGTAAATAAAGAAAAAATGCGGCACTATCAGTACATCTAACTGCAATCACCTTTTCCTCTCCCATCCTCCCCTCTGAAAGGCACTACTGTTTATAAAGGCTTTGTGGACCACAAAGCGCTGAAGCCAGCTCTCCCTCCGCCTCCTCTACTCCCCCTTAGACTGCTAAGGCTAAGAGAGAACTGAAGGACGCCTCCAATGTGACAGGTTTTTTTCCTAAAATTTTTCCACATTCACCTGTAAGTGGATATAAATCTATTTAACTTGGAACGAAAGTAAAAAATGCAGGGAATCATCGTACTTAAAAAGTTAGGTGCGGTCCCTGATCTTTGCTTCCTTTCTGTATCCCACTCTTATAAAAGAACCCAATCGCCTTCCACCCCTGCCCCCACCCCTGCCCAGAAACAACCACTCAACTGGCAATGGGTGCAAGCCAAGCAAGAAACGTGTGAATTTAACCAACATTTGTCCCATTTCAGCCAGAAGTTCACACCCGCTAAGAACTACCGTAATTATTATAGAAGTGGACTATTTTCTCTTTGCTCCCCTCTTCTCTTCTACCAAGTAACAAATATCTCCGTCCAAACAAGGATAAGGCAGTGGCCCCGATCCTCCTTTGCTTGCCACAGTTGCCCACAGAGCAACCTAAGGTAACTTCGCAGCCCCATCCTCTGGGACTCCTTGTTATTTCCAACATGCTTGGAGAATTCTTGAACCAAGACTGCTGTCTTTTCCCTGTTGGGAGAGCTTTGCGCACAGGGAGCCTTCCTCTTAGTTTTTTCAACTGTCAAACTATACAAAATCTACCCCTTTCTCTTTGGGCTTCTATTTAACGTTCCTTCTATTCTAACCATTGTACTTTGGCTCCGCTTAACAGAATCATCCTCCTTTTTATCTCTGTGGTCCTTGTCTCCTGTCTTCCTCAATGTGTGCTTGGGGGATTCCATGCACCCCCACATCTGGATCATCTCGACTCTGACAGAAAAGCTTTGGCTCTGTCTGACATTCTACTGTTCAATAATGCCCCCCTGCTGAGGTCTGTGCACCACTGTAGGTGACCAGAAATTCAACTTGCCATAACAATTCAAAATTCCTCAGCAGGAGGCTGTTTGTGCAAGGCATCCCCAGCGGTGGAGAGAGTGGAATTCGCCCCCATCCTTTCTGGAGATGTGAAGCATTGAGGATCTACAGTCTATCCATGTGGACAGGCATTCCTCTGTCAGGCTGTATGCCGTCATGGTGACGTGCTTACTGAAAAGGTTTTTAGAAGCATGTTTTAAATGCTAACATATTGTACCAGATAGTGTTTGTATATATGATGGCTCTGGAGGGTTAGTCAAGAGAGAGTTGAGTGCCTGAGACTCCATGACCCAGAGCCATTGGGAAACCCAGAAACAAATACAGTCAGAGTCGGTTTCCACATATTTGGTTAATCCCCCAAATACTAAGTGCTATCTAGTCTTATTGCTTGAACTCTCTACTAATTTATTAATCTCTAATCTTGGACAGGATAAGGTGGAGTGGGTGAGAAAATTGACTTGGAAACCATTGGAAAAGACTGATGCATATTTTTTAATTCTATATATCTGCTGAGGGAATATGTGTTGTGATATATTAAAGTTCAGGCTTGGTTGCCACCCTCACTTCTGCATGTAGATGGGTTTGTAGTTCTGCTCATCTTTCTGGGACTCTCTGCTTGCCCTTCCGTGCTGCGTGGGTTTCACATTCTCAATCCCATTAAGGAGAGAAGGAATGCCATTAAACTTGATGTGAACAAACATTGGAGTACATTTTCAAATATTATTTGCATAATAGCAATTTTCAAATCACATTCTAGGAAACAAAGGGTATATCATGTCCAAACACACACACACACACAAACAAAAGCTCCTCCCCCAAAACAAACCAACAGAAAAGGAGTGAAATTCCCAGGTTTCTTTCTTTGTTCCCCCACGAGAGGGAAGACGGGCAGTTAAGAGTAATCTTGTCTGGAGAATGTGCACCCGAAAGCAGCACTGGCCTCCCAGCACAACAGCCCAGAGACACAGCGGTGGCTGAGCGGTGACAGGTATTACAGTCTCAGGGAAACTCAAGGCCCTGGTGCAGAGATGTGTCAGGTTTTGCTCCATGGCTTCAAAAAAGGACTTGAGACCAGGCCTTGTAAAGGCCTCTATGGCTGCCTCCTTTTGGTGAGCACCCCTTGGCTTCCCTAAGGGGCTGTTAATAAAGCAAGCCAGCTTTCTGAAGATGGCGTTCTACGGCTGTAGAAGAAATCAGAAAGCGTCGGTGTGTTGTTCACTGGAACTACAGGAAAGGTTTCCGTTTGCCCTTTTGTAGGAACCTGTTGTATTCATTTACCTATTTCAAACCAGGTGAAGACACAAAAACAGCCCCACAACTCCTGCTCCTACTTTGGACTTACTTCCTGGCAGGCTTTCCTGCCAGATGAACTCTGAGCTGCCAGTGAAATTGGGGGTAGCATTTCATATACAGAACCGATTTTCATCAAACAACCTGTAACCGAGAGAAAGAAACCTCTCGTTCACAGGCTGCAAAAGGGTAACATTGCTTTCTCTTGATGCACAGGTTCTGGTAAAAGATTTCTATACAAGATTTATAAAATGGTCTAAAAAACTCGTCATCTAATTGTGCTTCGTCAAAACAATGCTTCGGGAAATAAATGACTGTCTTAACTGGAGCACTCAAGGTTACTTGGGATTGATTTCATATATAACTCTATATTATAAAACTCTGAAACCTGAATGGGATATATTACACTGCATGTGCGCATGTATCCTATTAAGAAACTATATCTAAGCCAGAAGACTTGACGTACATGACACCTCTGTGAAATAAACTCTTTGCTTAGAATTCCAGCAAAGGCAGAAGCCTTTTATGTTCACTGTAAGCATGAGGCTGGCCTGCTTAACCACTCATTTTGGAATGTGCAATTAACATTTCCTCACAGCTACTATTCGTGTCAGCCATGCCCTTCCTTCGAATACTCTGCCTCTTTATTTCTCCGGAATGACTGTGTGGAAAGCCCCTGGATTTAGGGTGACATCTGCCACTGCTCGGACCCTGAATGACCACTGGCGAGGTCTAAGAGGTACGTCTCGCAATCCAGAGAACCGCGTGGAGTGGGCGAATGAACAGAAGTATTTACAGCCACGTTCAGTCTCGCTTTGGCTCACACTCACTGTATGTGAAACCTCGGGGCTGGCGGACAGCTACGTGCCCTGGCTCGCCCGGCTGATGATGTAGCTCTTGACGTCGGGGACGGGCCGCACGTCGTGCTGGTGCTTGCGACGTTCTATGAAGCATGCCAGGCGGGAGGTGTCCAGGGGGATCTTGGAGTAGCTGCCGTTGTGGGGCTGCAGCCACGGGTGCTGCAGGCAGGTGGCGGCCGTGGGCCGCCTCCGAAAGTCTTCCTGTAAGATCACTTTGATGAAGTCTCGGGCTGCGCTGCTCACGCCGCAGAAGTACTCCTGGGGGAAGCTGAAGTCCACCCTGCACACGTTGATGCAGGTCTCCTCTTTGCTCTCGTCCAAGAAGGGGGAGACCCCGCTCAGCATGACGTACGTCAGAACCCCGATGCTCCAGATGTCCGTGCCCAGGGAGACGGGGATGCCTTGGATCACTTCCGGGGCAGCAAACTCGGGGTTCCCCAGCAGCTGGTGGATGTGGAAGTGACCCGAGATCTGGACAGCGTCCTCCAGGTCAATGAGCTTGACTCGAGGCACTGGAATCCGCAGGTCAATGAGCAGGTTTTCAGGCTGCAGACGGAGGAGAGAAGGCAGCTTCAGAACTCTGTTTTCACTGCCACTGGGTCTCCTGCTCTTTGGTGAAGCTTACGGCAAATGGGAAATGCCCTATGTGGGGCGCAATGGAGGCTTCCAACTGTGCTGTGAACCCGCTAAACTCTGAGTGTGGTGGTCTTTCAAAGACGCCAACACTGAAAATAGGGTGGCCGTGACTACCCTTTGCTTCTGTATGGAATCAAGAAGAGACTAAAGTCCTATCAATTGGGTGTTCCAGAGAACAGAGACTTCTTTTTGAGCGGCATGAAAGACACTTACTGGATCTTTCTATGCACTTAGACCAGGTAGTTGAAGCTGTGACCCTCGCCCCAACGGCACCGAGACTGGTGCGTTCTCATTCACCCACGAACAAGTCACTTGCATTGTGCCCACCTCACTTCTGTTGAATAGCCGTCAGTTTTCTAATCTGAGATTGAAGGTGGTAACTGGCGCCCAGCGAGAGTGGTCGCTCCCGGTTACCTTTATGTCCAGGTGGGCCACCCTGCAGTTGTGAAGGTACTGCAGGGCCTCCATGATGTCCCGGATGTAGAAGGCGACTTTTTCCTCCATCAGCTCGTCGTGGTTCATAAGGTAGTCTAAGAGCCGGCCGTCATCCATCCTGGGGGACAGGGCAAAGGAAATACATTTGTGAAGGAACAGGAAATTTACACGTGGTCAAAGCTGCAAGATGGCTCACTCGCTCTCTTTTTTTTTTTCTTTTTTTTTTTTATAAGATTTTTATTTCTTTGAAAGGCAGAGTTAGAGAGAGAGAGAGAGAGAGCGAGTGCACAAGAAATCTTCCATCCACTGTTTCACTCCCCAAATGGCTGCACTGGCTAGGGCTAGGAGCTTCTTCCAGGTCTCCCCCAAGGGTGCAGAGGCCCAGGCACTTGGACCATCCTCCTCTGCTTTCCCAGGTGCATTAGCAGGGAGCTGGATCAGAAGTGGAGCGGCTGGGACTTGAACCGGTGCCCATATGGGATGCTGGTGTTGCAGATAGCTGCTTTACCCACTATACTACAGCATGGCCCCTCTCACCCCTCTCATGGCCCCTCTCACTCCAAATAAAGATCAGTGTTGAAACACATGCATACTTCACTTAGAGTCCAAAGTTAGTGTAATGCTCAGAACTAGAAGAAAGAAGTGAGCACTGGTGTGCGTCAGGGATGAAATCTGTAGTGCACACTCTCCTTAAAGGAAGCGTCTCTTTGATCGACGTGGAGACTGTTCAAAGGGAAAAAGCTCTGCTCCCCCTGCGAGGGTCCTGATGGGACTGACCCCCAGGCTCACACAGGTATTCCAATCCTGCAGTCAGTGGCTGAGCAATCAAGGGCGTCGCCCCTGAGAGGTGGCCGTGGCTGTGAGAGCGCCTGGCCACTGGGGGTGTGCCCTCAGAAGGCTGGCGATTTCAGCCGGGCTTCTCTCTGCTCCGCATCTCACCCCGGGGCCGCTCCTCTCTGCTCCTGCAGACTAAGGAAGGGGGCACTGGGTCCCAAATAAACCTTTTCCTGCCCAAGAAGCTCCTCCCGAGTAGCACGGCTGCTTTAAGAGGTAAGACCACGGACTTCAGACAGCTTTCACCAAGACGGACATCGTCATTCGGAGTAACTGGAACCTGGTGGCCGCAAGCAGGCCCACATTTGTTTTGCCAAGTGCTTTTCTTGGCCAATTTTTCTTTGGGGAAAATAGAAGGTAGACAAAGTTTGTTCTTGGCATTCATTAAAACTTTTTTTTTAAATTATTTATTTACTGGAGAGGCAGAGAGACAGAGAAATCTCCCATCTGCTAGTTCACTCCCCAAGTGCCAGCAACAGCCAGGGAGGGGCTGGGCCTGGACAGGCCAAAACCAGGAGCCGGAAGTTCAGTCCGTGTCTCCCACATGGGCGGCAGGAAGCCAGCTCCTTGAGCCATTGCCCGTTGCCTCCCAGGGTGCGATTCAGCAGGGAGCTGGAATCAGCACAGTGGGCCCTGAAACAGCAGATGTGGGGGCCCCTGCTGCACCAGAGGCCTGCTCCGTCCTCAGCAACCTTGAAGCCATTCTGAATCTTCGGCCTTTCTAGCCTTAAAGACCGCCACTGAGAACATGATATGTGGAGCCAACCAGGCGTGGATTTTTTTTTTTTTTTTAAGATTTATTTATTTGAGAGGCAGAGTTACATACAGAGAGAAGGAGAGACAGAGAGAGTGGTCTTCCATCTGATGGTTCACTCCCCAGATGGCTGCAATGGCCAGAGCTGGGCCGATCCAAAGCCAGGAGCCAGGAGCTTCTTCTGGGACTCCCACGCAGGTGCAGGGGCCCAAGGACTTGGGCCATCTTCTACTGCTTTCTCAGGTCACAACAGAGAGCCAGATCGGAAGTGGAGCAGCTGGGTCTTGAAATGGCACCCACATGGGATTTTGGCACTACATATTACTGCTATGCCATAGCGCCAGCCCCATTTTTTTTTAAAAGGGCCTGGATTTGAATTCTCATTCTGCCACCTACTGACTGGGGCAAGTCATTTAAACTTTTGTGTTTTTCTTCCCAGAAGTGTGCCTCCTTTTAAGTGGGAATGATAATAACAATTGCAAAATGCCAACAGCCACTGTCTGAGGATAGTGCAGGGACCCGGTGAGACAGGAGCCCGGCAGCACAATGGTAGCACAGGCACGTGCTCAGTGAAGGGCAGTTGCTCGCAGGCTCGCGGAGTCCTCACAGCACATCTGAAGACTGCCTGAACCAGCGAATGGAGGATCAGTCTCTCTCCAGCCCTCTCCATCCCCTTCTGCGATTATGCCTTTCAAACAAAACTAAATAAATCTTAAAAAAAAGTGGGGGTGTCGGCGCTGTGGCGCAGCAGGTTAAAGCCCTGGCCTGAAGTGCTGGCATCCCATATGGGCGCCTGTTCGAGACCCGGCTGCTCCTCTTCTGATCCAGCTCCCTGCTGTGGCCTGGGATAGCAGTGAAGGATGGCCCAAGTGCTGGAGCCCCTGCACCCATGTGGGAGACCTGGAAGAAGCTCCTGGCTCCTGGATTCGGATCGGGGCAGCTCCAGCTGTTGTGGCCATCTGGGGAGTGAACCATCAGATGGAAGACCTCTCTTTCTGGCTCTACCTCTCTCTGTAACTCTGTCTTTTAAATAAATAAAATAAATCTTTTTTTAAAAAGTGGGAAGAATAGAGTAAAGCAGGATTGGGCTTGTTAAGTGTAACTCCCGAACTTCTTGGTGTGGGAGACATTTACAGTAACACAGCTCCCGGAACAGGAGGTCTCAGCCACCAAGTTCAACCACTGAACTCTGGGTATGTGGGTGCCCATGTCCCAACACAGGATCAGCAGCAGTTCTGATGGTACTAAAGGGGCGACAGCACAGCCAAGATTCAGCCCAAGGAGCAGCTCAGACGCGGCCTCCTCACAATCTCTCCTGGCCCTCAGCTCCAACCATGCTCTCAGGCAGCCCTCTGCAAACCAGGCCTTTCTTCCTGGTACTCAGTGTGCCACGCTGAGGTTCCTGGTCATCTGTCGGTCCCCCAGCAGAACTTCTGTTCTCCCCACCCCAGTCCCATCAGCCTGCCCCACGGCTGGCACACAGAGGGTGCTCAGTCAACCAGCCAGTTTAACCCAACATTCATCTACTTTAATCCCTGCAACCACCTTGTGAAGTGGGAGGAAGCAGGTGCCCACACGTGAGGACCCAGAGGCCCAGGAAGCCGAGTGGTCTGCTCCAAATCACAGGCTGGACCTGAGCCCAGATTCTTTACTCCAAGAGCATCTTTGGGGCCGACTTTGTGGTGTGCCGGGGTAAGCTGCCGCCTGTGACACTGGCATCCCATATGAGCACCGGTTGCTCTACTTCCAATCCAGCTCCCTGCTATGGCCTGGGAAAAGCAGCAGAGGATGGCCCAAGTGCTTGGACCCCTGTCATCCACGTGGGAGATCCAGAAGAAGCTCCTGTTTTTTTTTTGAAAGAACATCTGCATTGCACTGTGGCAGCCCAAAAACCAACAGCTGCCCTTAGAATGATAGCCAGCAAAGGTTCTGGAGTCACTGAACTGTCCTGGTAGGCAAGCGACAGTGCCTTTCATTAGGAATAAAGCATAAGACGTTGCTACTTGTAAATGAAGACCAGCAGAATATGCCCACTGAATTAGAAAGCTCCCAGCAAACATGCTAGGCTGTAAAAGACAGGCTGGTGCTGCGGCTCACTAGGCTAATCCTCTGCCTGTGGCGCTGGCATCCCAGGTTCTAGTCCCGGTCGGGGCACCAGATTCTGTCCCGGTTGCCCCTCTTCCAGGCCAGCTCTCTGCTGTGGCCAGGGAGTGCAGTGGAGGATGGCCCAAGTGCTTGGGCCCTGCACCCCATGGGAGACCAGGAGAAGCACCTGGCTCCTGGCTTTGGATCAGCGCGGTGCGCCGGCTGCGGCGGCCATTGGAGGGTGAACCAACGGCAAAAGGAAGACCTTTCTCTCTGTCTCTCTCTCACTGTCCACTCTGCCTGTCAAAAAAAAAAAAAAAAAAAAAAAAAAAAAAAAAAAAGACTGGAAGTCTGTTTGTGTAAGTCCACAGCCAGGGCTGATGTGTGGCTCAGAGGTGTGGGCATCCTGGCTAGTCCACTTCCAGTCCAGCTCTCCGCACCTGCATGGGAGACCCAGGAGGAGCTCCAGGCTCCTGGATTCACTGTGGCCCAGCCCTGACTCATGCAGCCATCTGGGGAGTCCACCAGCAGACAGAAGATCTCTCTCTCTCTCCCTCTGTCACTCTGCCTTTAAAATAAATAAATGAACATTTAAAAAAGGTATTTATTCATTTGGCTCTTGGCTTTGGATTGGCCCAGCTCCAGCTATTATGGCTGTTTTGGGAATAAACCAGTGATGGGAGATACCACTGTACCCCTCTGTCTCTCTCTGTAACTCTGCCTTTTAAATACATAAATAAATCTTAAAAAAAGAAGTCCACAGCAACAAACTACCAAGCATGCAGGGTTAAGTTTTATAAAAGGATTACAAAGGCCACCAGTTCTGGTTTTGTCTCCTTTTGTTTTGTTTCAACTGACTTTTTAAAAATATTTGTTTATTTTTAAAGATAGAGTTATGGGGAGAGAGGGAGGGTGAGGGAGAGGGAGAGAAGGAGGGTGAGGGAAAGGGGGAGGGGGAGGGAGAGGAGGAAGGAGAGAGGGAGGGAGGGAGAGGGAGAGAGACAATGAGCTCTTCCATTTGCTGCTTCACTCCCCAAATGGCCACAATAGCCAGGGTTGGGTCAGGCCAAAGCCAGGAGCCTGAAACTCCATCTGGATCTTGCATGTGGGGGCAGGGGCCCAAGCACTTGGGCCATCCTCCACTGCTTTCCCAGGCACATTAGCAAGGAGCTGGACCAGAAGTGGAGCAGCTGGGGCTGAACTGGCACCCACATGAGATGCCATCATGACAAACAGCGGCTTAGCCCACTAAGTCACGGTGCCAGCCCCCTCCTTTTTCGTCTTTAATTTATGACAAGCTACTTCTTCAAGGACCTTCTCACACACACCTGGATGTGCCAGCCCACGAGAGCAAGAGACTAAAATGACAGTTGAAAGTGTGAATGCACACACTCCTTCCCTATCTGGGTCTCTGTCCAGGCCTATTGTCTGTTCAGGGTGATGGCCCCATGAGCACTACCTGATAACAATTCTGCACTCTTTCTACTACTGCTGACAAGATTCCATCTCTGCAGCCTCTGTGAGATTTCCCCAAACCACAGGGCAGGCTTTCTGCTGTTAGTCTGGGGTAGCAGCAGGGGAGTGTGACTTTACTGTTCTATTTGATCTAATCTAGGGTTCAAGTACATGGTTGCCTGTGTCCCTAGAAAATCTACAGGGAGGGGCCAGTGCTGCGGCACAGTAGGTTAATCCTCCAACTGCAGCACCGGCATCCCATATGGGTGCCAGTTCTAGTCCCGGCTGCTCCTCTTCCAGTCCAGCTCTCTGCTATGGCCCGGGAGTGCAGTGGAGGATGGCCCAAGTGCTTGGGCCCTGCACCCACATGGGAGACCTGGAAGAAGCTCCTGGATCCTGGCTTTGGACTGGCGCAGCTCTGGCCCTTTCTGCCACCTGGGCAGTGAACTAACAGATGGAAGACCTTTCTCTCTGTCTCTCCCTCTCACTGTCTGTAACTCTGTCTTTCAAATAAATAAATAAAATCTTTAAAGAAAAAAAAGAGAAAATGTGCAGGGACTGGGATGTTCACTGTGGTAGAGTTTCTTGGGTGGAGACTGGGCTGCTGGGGCAGCGGATCAATGCACAAGCCCCTGCCTCTTATTTCAGCTCTCCCCCTGTCCATCAGCCTGCTCTCAGTAAGCTCTCCCTGGGCCCCTGCTCAGCCCAGGAGTCTGCAATAGAAAGACAATGAGAACTGGAGTGCGAGATTCAGGTTTCAGCTTCTCTGCCTCCTGGTTTTAAAGATCTTCCCCATCCTTGGTTTGCTAATCTGTGAAATGGGGTTACCATATAAGATGCGGGGCATGTTACAGGCCATGGTTTGTAAACAATAATGAGCTAAAATGCCACGGTTTTTCTTCATTGAAGGGGGCATTTCGGAGAGGACGGCGGCACTCACAGCTCCAGGATCAGGATGTAGGAGGTGGGGGACTCGTAGGTGTCGTGGAGAGTGATGTACTGAGGGTGCTGCAGGTGTTGCAACAGGGCCGCCTCGTGCGCTGCCTGCTCCTTCTTCTTCAGCTTCTTGCTCACGAACTTCACAGCAACGTCTCTGCGCGTGGCCTTGTGGACGCACTTCTTCACGATGGAGAAACGGCCTCTGGAACACAGGGGGAGAGAGCGCCTCACAGCTTGGCCGGCAGCCAGCATCGGCACGGCGGTGCCCAGGGGCTGCGCGGGGCTGGGGGCCAGCTGCTCACACAGGAACCTTTGGTTGAGGATCTCGCTTTTCTACATTTTTAATCATGGGGTCAACGTTAGTATTCAGAAAACTTATTTTTCCTGCCTAAACATTTTAGCAGTTTTGATATGCAAAAGCTAAATGATATCATTTTTAAGCCAACATATTTCTCTGTTATTTAAAACATGAACCCACAGGTTTGATTTCTTTTTTTTTTATGCAGATATAAGATGTAACAACAGCAGCAACATTAAAGGAGGAGGAATTCCACTCGATTTTAAAAACATTTTTAAAGAGATCTTTTTCCATTGTACTTTAGGTTTATCACCTGTTTATTAGGGAAGATTCCTGCTGTGCACAGCAGTAAAGGAAATCTCCCCTGGGCACCCTGTGTCACCAATCTGCTACATTCGATCAGTCTTATCTCAACCATTCCTCTTCTACTCCAAGTTCTACCCACCCGCTCCCCCCCGCCCCGGGAGTATTTTAAGTGCACTGTGTCATTCCACCCATAAATACTTACCTCCATTGATCAGGGCATTTAGCAAGACACAAACACCTGCCTTTACCTCCCCACCACCTTAAATAGACAGAATGGCTCCGGGTGCGGCTGCAGCCCTGGGTGGACAGGAAGAGAGGTAGATGGAAGGGGCACTGCTTAGCACAGAAGCAGAGATGGAAGGCCACGGAGGTGACGAGGCGGTGCCGCCCGAGCCATGTCCAGGAGGTGCTACAGCCTCAAGCGGGCGTGAACAGTGTGAGGGACAGCCCCTTCCTCAACAGACAGCGACACGCCAGGCCCCTGGCCGCCCCTAGAATCAGCCCAGTGACTCCCTGATGCAGCTCTGTGCTCACTGAGCAGGCTCGGAGCACTCCTGCTTTTCCATTACATACTCACCTGAGAGAAAGGGAGCGCCCGTCAGTGAGACCAACGCTGGACAAATATTAACGGAGCGCCTGCTGTCTCCTGGACTTCGTATTTGGCACAGTGAACAAGCAGTTGTTCAAACCGACAGTTCTGTACACACTGACATTCTGGTTTTTTAACAGTGCTACCTTGTGAGTTTGATAACTGCACATCACTCTGACAAAAACATCTGAATGCGGAGCGCAGGTTCTCCAGAATCTAGCAGTCATGTCAAGGTACTGCTGGCTAAATTTTTTTTAAACTTTTCGTGTTCATGGAAGTTATATATCTCCATGATTTAAAAAGTCAATCATCTTTATAGGTTATTTATTTAAAACATTGACATATTAGTCCCTTGCCTTTAAAAAAATATTTATTTGAAAGGCAGAGCAATATGAGAAGAGAGACAGGGAGGAGAGAGAGAGGGAGAGGGGGAGGGAATCTTCCATCGGCTGGTTCACTCCCCAAATGCCTGTAACAGCTAGACCTGGGCCAGGCCAAAGCCAGGAGCCTGGTACTAGGTCTGGGTCACACATGGCTGGCAGGGACTCAAGCACTTGAACTTTCATCTGCTGCCTCCCAGGACACATTCATAGGAAGCTGGATTATCAGTGGGGGAGCCGGGACAGGAACCAGGCACTCGGATATGGGATGTGGGTGCCCCAAGTGACGGCTGAAGCCACTGTGCCACAACACCCACCCCATAGGTTTGTTGTAAGAAACAATAGTAATTCTACCCTCCCACCTGTGCCCTTTCATCTCCCATAGGAGCAGTTAATTTAGTTTAACATATTTTAGCTGATTGCTTATGTATTTACTTCTTTGATTCTAAATAGTACTGGTCTTCAAAAAGATCATGAAAAAATACATATTAAGAAAATATTGGAGGCCGGCGCTGTGGCTCACTAGGCTAATCCTCCGCCTTGCGGCACTGGCACACTGGGTTCTAGTCCTGGTCAGGGCGCTGGATTCTGTCCTGGTTGCCCCTCTTCCAGGCCAGCTCTCTGCTATGGCCAGGGAGTGCAGTGGAGGATGGCCCAGGTGCTTGGGCCCTGCACCCATGGGAGACCAGGAAAAGCACCTGGCTCCTGCCATCGGATCAGCGCGGTGCGCCGGCTGCGGCGGCCATTGGAGGGTGAACCAACGGCAAAGGAAGACCTTTCTCTCTGTCTCTCTCTCACTGTCCACTCTGCCTGTCAAAAAAAAAAAAATATTGGTGCATGGATTTCAAAATTTTATTGTACCAAAATGGGGAGAGTATTACGGCACAGTGGATGCAGTCCCAGCTTGGGATGCCTGCGTCGCACATTGCAGTGTCTCCTTCAAGTCTTCACTGCTCCATGCTTCTGATCCAGCTTCCTGCTAATGCACCTGGGAGGCAGCGGAAGATGCTTCAAGTACTTGGGTTTCCACCACACCCATGGAAGACCCGGATGGAGCTCCCGGCTCCTGGCTTTGGAATGTCCTACCCCTGGCTGTTGCAGGCATTTGGGGAGTGAACCAGTGAATGGAAGTGCTCTCTCTCTCTCTCTTGCTCACTCGCTCTCTTTACTCCTCTCTCTTACACTCTGCCTTTCAAATAGATAAAACTATTTTTTAACCTACTTGGTTCGGTACAGACTGAAGGTCTGTCTCCCCTCCCGTGGGAGGTAGCTCCATGCAGCTTCCCCAGCTTTTGCTGTGCTACTTAGGCCTGCCCTCACCCTCGAGGGGAAGCTGAGCAGTGGTTAAATCAGAGCTGAGGTCTCCGAGCCTTGCTAGGGTGTCTTCTACACCCGCACGACTCGGAAGCAGCCCAGGATTTGTATTTTTTGATAGATCGAACCAAGGGACCCTTTCTCTTGCTTTCTCCTCCTGGAGTTTCCCCTATGTTCTTTGGTTCCCAAGGTCCCTTTTGTGGTTGTCTGGCCAGAAAGATGGGGTCCCTCAGAGCCTCTGCTTCCTGTAGTGCCCAGCAGTTCCACGGGACTGCCCCGCGGTGAGGCAGGGAGAAGCAGCGAGGAGTCTCTGGCCCTGCCCAGCTTGCAGGCAGCCCCTTCGCATGAGACCTACGGGGTTTTCTTGGAGTTTCTGCTCGCCGTGTACCTGCACAGTTCTCTGGATGGCCTGCCCTTGAATCAACCCTGATTTGAGGGGAAACAGGAGGAAGGGAGGGAGAGAGGGGAAAAAGGGAAGAAGCAAGACAGAAAAGCCCGGGCCACTGCCCTGTCGCTCCTCAAACTCTGATTTCAGGCCGGTGCCGCGGCTCACTAGGCTAATCCTCCACCTTGCGGCGCCGGCACACTGCCATTGGAGGGTGAACCAACGGCAAAGGAAGACCTTTCTCTCTGTCTCTCTCTCTCACTGTCCACTCTGCCTGTCAAAAAATAAAAACAAAACAAAAACTCTGGTTTCCCTCTCCAGTCTCCCTATTACACGCTTTTCGGAATGCTCAGGTTACTGCTTCTGCACTTTGTCCAGGGATCCCAACTGTAATCAGTGGGAGGTATAAAATACCTAGAGAATTGTCATTGCCACCACCACCACCACCACCACCACCACCACCACCACCACCACACCATCACCACCACCACCACCACCACCGCCACCATCACTACAGGATTTCTCTGACCTCCTTTTTCTTTTTGGCCGCACAAAGAAGACAGGACAGTAGACAAAGTTTGTTTCTGATGAGATATACTTTAGGAAAGGCAACGAAACGGTGACCTCCACCCAAAAATCAGACACCAGGAACACTTCGGCTCCCTCTGCAGCCTCTGTCACAGCGCCCCACGGGAGCTCAGTCAGCGCGGGATGAGAGGCCAGGCCCCCAGAGCCCGGGGTGAGGCCCCCTGAGCACCTGGGGCCCACTGCCGGCGCGCGGACGAGCATCTTCTCTTCCTGGCCCATCAGCTATTTTGGGGCTTGGGTAACAGATTTTTTTTTTTCTGCTAAGAGTCTTCCTTTTTATTCTTTTTATTTTTGAGGGCATAGTAAGTGTTCCCCGATCAAAATACTGAGAGGCGACAGAGGAGGGGGGGAGGAGGGCAGGGGAGGGACAGAGGGAGATGGGCAGGTGTGTGTTGGGGGAAGGGGAGGCACGTGGGGTGGAGATGCCCGTGACACAATGTCCCTGACACATGGACACACGGAGACCTGTACACAGCAATTAGTAAGTGTCTTTCCAAGAGCACACGAACGTTTTACGACAATTGGCTGTACACCATTTGCAAGGCAACTCCCAGCAACAAACAAGGAATCAATATCATACAAAGTTTCCTACCCATATTCAGTTCCGTTAGAAATCAATGACAAATAGAATTTTTAAAAATCTCATACATATGAAAACAGGTTTGCATTATAATTGTGTCAAAGAAAAAAAAGTCAGAGTTTAAGACACAGTACATAGCACTGAAAAATACTGAAAATACCACACATCAAAACGCGGGAAACGTAGCTGAAACTGTACTTTGAAGAACATTTTGAATCTTAAATTCTTATATTAGGAAAGAAGAAAGGCCGAGAGTCGATTAGGGAAGAAGGAAAAGGATGGTAGAAAACAGACACACACATGCTAGAGTTCTCTCTCCCATAGAGAGGATGCACTTATGAAAGACAGACAGAAACAACAAGACAAGCCATTGTCGCCACGCCGCCGGGCACTCACGCGAGAGGAGGAGAAAGCTGCGCCTTACCTGCCGATTTCATTCAGCTCGGTATACGCAGCATCAAAATTTTCCTTCCAAGAAATGGTGGCACCGTCAGCAGCCGCATCTTGGGGAGAGAGAACCCACTTGTGACATTGAGGATGTCGCACATGGATGTGACAGGGCTAACAGGAGAGCGGACATAACCCCTGAGCGGTTCCCACGAGCAAATATGCAAACTCGGTGGGAAAATGCCACCGGGCTCTGGGCGGTTACTTTAAAAAGATCACCCGAGAGGAAACCGACATGACAGCCAGACTCCCTCTGTCATCTGCTTACCCGGGGCAGAAATCTGAAATGTGGCTTGGGGATGTTTTAAAAATAGTAACTTGATAGGGAAAATGAAAAGGCTGGGAGAGAAGCTGCTGAGGCCTGGAAAAGCCAGGGAGAATCAGGGCTGTCGGGAGAGCAGCGGGAGATTACTACACACATCGGGAAAGCAGGCAAGGAAGGGCTGCTCTGCAACCCGGCCTTCCTTCCCACCCGCTGAGTTCACCCAGCCCGCAGCACAGGCTTGAGCCCATCTGGGAGCTTCACCTCGCATGGTTGTTAACTCCCGGGCAGTGCCTCACATCACACACACACACACACACATACATCCCAGCCTCACATCACACACACACACACCAGAGCCTCACATCACACATACACAAA